TTAGGTTAGGTTAGGATTAGCTTATAAGCATTTATGGATTGTAAAAAAAGGGGGAAATGTAAATAGGCACTGTATCATTGCATTTGTTTATTAAAAGATGATAACATTATTTTCAGCTAATTCATAAAATAACAATGTTACTAACAAGAAGAAGAAGAGACTTACCTTATATTCAGAAGACTGTTCCAAACTTTCTACAGAAGCTTCAGCGTAATGTGTGTTTGGTAAGGTTGCCTTAGCGTTTTGGTTATCATCCTAGGTTAACATAAATAATAACACATGTATAATTAGTTGAAAAAATATAATAAAATTGTAAGCTCAATAAGTCGCGAAGCGACCGAACAAACCTTTTAGAAAACACGACAAGATATGTACTATATACAATATTATAACACTGTGTAATAGTAAGTCTAGAGGCAGGAAGTGAGTTCTTGTAGTAAATATACACACATACACGCCCCGATTAAGAGACTAATTTATAAATATTTAAAATAGCCATTCACCGCCACTTCCCCCTTGTTTTTCTTCTATTACAAATCTATTCCAAGAATTTTCCAAAATCATTGTGGGCAGAGGCAGTTAACTTAGCAATGTTTGTGTTAAAACGCACAGGTAATTCGGGTCAAGTAAGCAAATCTCCTTATGAATTATGGTTCGAAAAATCATGTAAAATAGACAAGTACATAGAAGGTAAAATATACAAATCCTATACCTATACCTAGTTTGCTAACTATCAAATAACAAAACAAAGTAGCTCCTATTGTACCGTTATTCCACTTCTAGTCCTATATTACTTCACGGTAATTATATTGATCAGTGTACCAGAAAAGTTTAGGATGTAAAAAAAATATATATAGAAATAATTTAAGTAAAATTGTATGTTGTAATTATTATGATTACTTTCTGGACGTGGTTTACGGCCGTTTACCTTGGCTGACTAAGTATAAAGAAGAAAATTAACTATCAATATTAATGTTCTTATATTCTAAGAACATCCCTGTTCGCATACATAAGTTTATGAGGAAAATATACAAGTAATCGACTCCTATCAGTATAATGTGTTATTTAATTAGAAATATTGAAGTCGTAAGTATAGGTAGTACCTATAATAAAATACGTTTAGAGTTTTTTGTTACTTCTGCTAATAAAATAAAATGTAATAAACTCTTCATATTTACTTTTTGGAATTCCTATTTAAAATTAAACATAATATTTGTACTATTGTTTTATTATACCAAATAGTAGATACATTTTTTGTAATTAGATCCGAAAAATAAATCTTTAATAATATGGTCTTATCTATAATTATCTCACTTATCTCTTATCGGCGATTGTAAACTGCGCCCAAGGCACAGGTAAACACAAAATCATACAATATGTAAACTGCGACCGAGTTTTTATCAAGTGTAAAAAGGTTACATGTTAACTGCGCCCGAGTTCTTATCGAGTGAAGTTAAGGTTCATTTATACTATTTAATTTAATGTAGGTATGTTTCTATTAAAATTGCTTTTAATTTTTCTAAAAACATAAAAATATTTGGATGAGTTGTTTAAAAACTAGAACTAAAATGGGTATGGAATGACTCGCATGCATTGATGGTTAAAAATGGCTCTTCTGATGCTTGAGCCATATTTCAGGTGGATACTGACTTCTTCACACTATAATAATCTACTAAATAATTCGCAAACGTGTCACTCTTTCGTCGTCGGGCTTAGATATCATTAAATAATTTATAAAATACTCAGATACACTGTTATGAACCCCTGAAATATTTAGTATTAATTAGAGTAGTATATAAGTTATATTAATATTTCGCAATTGGAGCAACAGAGTATCATGCGTAGACGCGGTCGGCCTAAAAGAATGTGTCTATTATTTTAAAACCGGGGAAAATCTATAGTATCTAATTACAGACCAAAAGCAAAACTCGCTCCAATTCCTAAGCTTTTAGAAAAACTCATAATGTCCACTTCTCGCACAGACATTTAAAAATACCTTAGACTCCAATCGACATGGTTTTTTATCTGGCAGGTCGACCGACACTAATTAGATTTGTTTTCTATCTAACTTAATAAAATCTACGGAAATTGGCCTTCAAGTAGACGTTATATATATATATACTGATTTTAGTAAGGTGTTCGACTCTGTTAACCATTCAATCCTTATTTCTAAACTTAAATCCATAGGCATCTCTGATCCTCTTCGATCCTGGTTTAGCTCTTACCTGTCAAACAGATGTCAACAAGTTAAAGTAAACGACCATCTATCCTCACGTTTTCCTACTACCTCTGGAGTTCCCCAAGGCGGTCACATTTCTCCTCTCCTATTCCTTATTTTTATTATGGACATTGTTATACACAGTTAGATTAATATAAATAATAATATTCGCTGATGTTTGTTATGAAACCCAAATTACACGAATGACAAGTTGTGCCGGTGTAGCACTCGCGTATGGTAGACAATTGCACCATATGTTGCATGGAGTTTGTTTGGTCAACACTAGGCGTGTCTGAATAATTAGAAGCAGGAGATAACTCATTTTCTTTTTGGCCGTGTGGCCATATCTGATCATTGTGCCTTAGTCAGAACCATCATTTAAAACTACTTTATGAGTATTATGACTAATATTATCAGTAATTGTACCCTTCTGCCAATTTTCACCTGTTTTTCTGTAATCTTTAACTAACACACCATCCCCCTTATCTAAATTTAAGTCTCTTTTACCCCCGTTTTTTATTTGTGTTACTTGATTATTAATAACTACTTCGTTGGTGTTTGGTATTAATAAATCAAATAGTGTTTGTGTCGAATGACCCAACATGAGTTGAGCGGGAGATTCGTGTGTTGTCGGGTGAGAAGGGACTCCTGTTAAATGCCTAATACCTAGTTTTTTACAGGCGTGAAAAGGCGTGCATTCGGGCTTTATTTCAACGTCGGACTTGTTTCATGCTATAAAGAAGATGGCCGTCATATGTCTGATGTAATTTTTAAAAAATGAAATGGCACTCATTTACATATCATAAAATATTAATAAAATGTTTGTACATCTAAAATATACTGAGTTATGTCTATCTATTTTTGACCCTATTCGTTGGCAGCGGGGGCACGCTGCACCTTAACTATCGATTCATTGTTTTTCACAAACGCGTCGTACGCAAACACACGGTGAACGACACTCCACTGCGCTATAGTGATAACTAAATGACATTATCTGACGGATCGAATGAGCTTATCTAGACCTGCCTACTCCCATTCAATGTTGAGAAAAACCCATCTATTTTTGTCCCTATTTCCGTGGCCCACCCTGTATTATATTGTATTAAACTTATATATATATACATTATAATAATAATGTACGATTGTGTTAAATGAAAGCGACATCCATGTATGTTTATCCGAGGCCAAATAGCGAGCGAGTGCTAAAACACTCGGATATCTGCCGTCCTCATTATCAATGCTAATTCCACATGCTGACAAGAAACCTCGTCATGGCAATTTATGCAATTTGGTAAAAGTGGTAGAAACCCTAAAATGTTAATATTCCCGTGATTGTATTGATTCGGACGCTGTTTGCATTTCATACCGATGACGAGAAGCTGGGCGCAGCTTACATGTAGGTACTAACCTTTTTCCACTTGATAAAAACTCGGGCGCAGTTTACACATACGTTTTTTAAACCAAATTATAAACGAGGCGCGGTTTACGTATGCCCAAAAACTCAATAGATAATCGTTTTCTTGCACCCGGCCTTAAAGGTGCGCGTCCACAAGTCCGCATCGGACGGATTTTAGTGTGCTATAGCCAATACTGGAAAAATTGTACATCCGGTTGATACGACCCGTCCGATGCGGACATATGGACGCTTACCTTAACACGTAAAGATTGTCAGCTGGCCCTGGACAAGCGGAGTTGTGTGTGCGACCGTTTCCCTAAGTATGACAATGAAATATTTTTGAAATTCATACGTACGGATTGTAACCACCGAGAGCAGCAATAGTCAACCAGGTAGGCACAACCGAACCCCGCCACAAATCCGCCGGCCGCATACAATTTAAGTGACATCATGTTTCACAAAATCGAGTATGTTGCTGAGACGTGATGACGAATAACGAAAAACTGAATACTGTTATAAGAATAACGAAAAACTGAATACTGTTATAAGAATAACGTAAAACTGAATTCTGTTATATAATAATAAATAACAACCAATAATACCTAACAATGATTTAAAAAGCCATTATTATTATTTATTCTATTCGGATAGCTTTTAATCAGCTGTTAAAATTCCGAGCTTTTTAAAAACCCAAAAATGTTTTTTTTAATACATTTCATAACCAATACTCTTTAATGTCTATACAAATGACCAGACCATTATGGGAACTACTCGTCGTTTCCTGAATGCCGACGATTTAGCGATAACTGCGCAGGGGAAAACTTTCAGTGAAGTGGAACACACACTCGCACATGCGCTGGAGAAATTGGACAGATTGTATACACAGAACTCACTAAAACCCAACCGAGCAAATAAGCAAATAAGTGTATTCCAGCACAACCAAAATAGGTTATTTTTTGTTCGCGGCTTTTGGCGATTTAAATAAAAATTGTAACATTTGAATTTAAAAAACTAGTAAACGAGTAAAACAACATTTTTTTTTACTATGTAATAGTCATAATATGTCATAAGTGTAATTAATCATTAACGTGTATTAATAGTCCTACAACTTTACAGGTTGAATTCTAAAATAGTGCAATTATACAAAACAAATGTGTAATTCAATCATCTGTACGAGAAGTATAATAAATGATGTAAAACATAAAAATAAATAACATTTATATTCGCAATTTGAAGAAAATCCGTCACGCCTTTACTGTGACCTGCCCTTGTTAGAAAATGGCTGCTGTTTTTCGTTTACACAATAGCGTTCAATCAGCCAATCAGAAGGTCCCATTTGAGCGCACGCACGTGATAGGCGGGTGTGCGCCATTTTGTACGACAAAATTTAATGTTAGGTATAAATTCAGGGTTGGACTAGCTCACCGGACATCTCAGTTTAAAAACGTTGGGCCTCCTTGTTCAAAAGTTGTATTCAATGATTCAGTAAGTGAATAATTCGATTTTTTTTAGTAATTACATTAATTTGACGGTGTTTAATATTATGATGTAATATAAGGATGAACCGACAGACATACATACAGGCTGACATTACTGGACTGGACAATTTTCATCCTGTTAATTCAATAGAAATATTAAACATTCCAGTAAGTAAATGAATTAACAGTTTTATAATTTATTTGAATTTAATTGTTTAAAAAATAAAATGTTTACCTATACGATCAGTCAAAATTCAAGGGCTCACCAGAAAAAACAGACATGTCTATTTTTTTATAACAACATTTTAATTATTATGAATTATACAAAAACTTTAACTAGATACTCGACAACATATATATATATATATATATATATTAGTATTATACAATTATTTGTTTAAATAACATAAAATCAACAAATTTTAAATAACCTTCGGTCACTCGGCCGGACAAGTGGAACGTGACGAAAGTCTTCGTGGCGAATAGTTGTGGTTCAGAACCGAAGAAAACCCTTTTTTTTTTGCATTTTCTTAATTATTTTTGAGACTTCTTAACGGGTACAATAGGTGAACGTCACAAAGCTCGGTGTTTTCTATGTTTTTATTTGTTTATACATTTATCGGAGTTGCTTTTCTTTATTATAATGAAATATATAAATAAATGTGCCTCCGCAATGAGCAATAATTAAGCAATTTTTAACAGTAAAAGTACATTCAGTACAAAACTGAACGATCCAAAGATTTTGAAATTTTTTATTAGCCTATACTCGGTCAATATGTCCTATTTTAAAAACACAATTAAGTGTTTAAATAGCATAAAATCAACAAATGTAAAATAACCTTCAGTGTGAAATCGCGAAGATTAAAGAACGAGTGACAGTAGATCAGAAGAGCATTTTTTGTTAATTTTTTTTTAAGACTTTTTAACGGGCACTCGAGTGGGCACCGTATGAAATGCGATATCTGTAATAATAATCCAAATTTGCCTCTTTCCAAAGACAAAAATCCTATTTATTCGAGTCGTGTTCGGAATAGTAAAAGCAGCTAAAGTGTCTACATCCAGCCGTGTACCGGATAATAAATCCTTTTGGGGTTCTCTAATGGGATTTGTCGGGCAGCACGGGTTAGGAATTTTTTACAACAGTAATTAGGGTCGACGACGTGCCTGCTAAATCAATATTCGAAAATGTTTTCATATTATATAGTCATAATTCATATATCTATTTGAATAGGTATCGTTTGGTATGAACGACCAAAGCAAATTAGACAACGAATCAATACTGGACAATACTGCATTCCAACCCATATAACGGACATTTTTCAGTTCAGTTTTTTTTAAAAATATTATACCTAAAATATTGTCATTTTGTACGTGGAAGCAAATGAGCTGGAGAGAGAGAGAGAGAGAGAAGGAGGGATAAACAGGTATATTGATAGCATCGTAAAAAAAAGAAACGATCCGGAAAATATTAAACCGGAATGGGGCGAGACCATAAAATAAAGGTCTACAAAAGTTAGATAAGGGCAGATCATGACCGAGTCGTGCATTCGGAATACATTATATTGTTTGTTTAATCTCTCGAATATAGAGTGCACTCTTATCTTGTCAGTGTTTTAAATATATTATATTTTGTTAGTTTGTCCTATCTCATAATATTCTAGTTTAAAGCCACCTTGACCGAATTCTCTGACCTAAAGACGGCGTACCCGCGACATTTATGCATTTACTTGAAAATAAATAAGAAAAAGTTCAATTTTGTCAAATTATTTTTGTTATATTACTTGTCCACCCTCTGATTGGGGTTCGTTTTATTAGTTACCACGTTCAATCGTTCTGACTGCATTTTTTTTTTTTTTACATGGACATGTCTTATGGCAGGGGTCGTTCACAGTGCTGACGTCATTAAGTATATATATATAATATATATATATATTTCTTCTGTCCGTGTGTAAGTATGCAAACTCCTCTCGATTAATGACTTCAATATTTTTTTAAAATTTGTTTATGTCAACTTTTTTTGAGTGAAGTTAAACGGTTCCACGTTAAATACCCAAACAATTACCCATTAAAGTAAGTATGTCTTAGTGGCGTAACGGTTAACACTTTGAACTAATAATCAAGAGGTTTCGGGTTCGAATCGAGTCAGACAAAACTACCTATTTTGTATTTTTTTAATTTTTTAATTTATATTTCAACGGTTAGAAACATTTGAAGCCTCAAAAAAAATCAATTTAACTTGACCTATCGGCTTCTAGACAAAAAAAAAATCTATTATCGTCAGCGGATTTATATTACACAATTTTTTCTTTCTCTTTATAAGAATAACTACAGTGATCCGATCAGCCTAACACACCGGCAAAGATAACAGATATGGACATAGGTTTTAAGTACTCGTGAGCTCGACAAAACAAAAAAAACTCCCCGTCGACCGGCACCCCGTACCGGTAAAAGGGCGTTTAACGACACCAAAGCACTGTGTACTATTATATAAAGCCGTGACAAGACGTGACAGCGTTTCTCGGTGATGTCAAAAAAAAAAAAATGAGTTGGCCGTCGAAACGACTTTGCCCTAAAAAAAAAACGTCACAAAAAACCCGTACCTATCGTCGCTCAAAATCCAAAAAACCTTCAAGTACTTAAGGGCAAAGACTACGACGGTTTTATGTTGTAAGACTTAGTGGTGATAGGGTTTTTCATTTTTTTTTTTTGAGAAAACATGTACGGTAATGGTCGATTGTACCCCATATGTTACGGCCCCACTAACAATAAACGCGATTTTTCGCCATTACCCTTTGTCTTAGGGTCACCAGCCCTTTACATTAAGGTTCTGGCGCGATTCAGACAGGTCGCCGACGTCAAAATGGCATAAAAATCCACTCCTTGACCGAAAACCCGCCAAAACCAAAAAACTTACCCGGCCGCCGGCGGCCGTTGCTATGCAAAATAACAAAGCCTGAAAATTACTAATTTTCAAATGAAAATGGGAGTTTTCCCGGATTTCTCAGCCGCTAGGGCGCATCGAAGGCCGCTCGATCCCTCGTTAGATCCACGAGATCACGGTCTGTCCGACGATGCCAGGCGCGCGAAGAAACAGCGGTTGTTAGCGCCGCGATTTGCCACTAAAACTACTGCGCTTAACCACGACGTACCCTGCTAGTTTCGCGTCTTCCGCCGGTCTCAGGGCCTCGGCCTGATGTTGCTTAATGTTGCCTACAAAATGTTGTCTTACTGGCCCCACTCGACGGTGTCGAGCCACGGACAAAGGAAAGATCTCAGGGGACGACAAATGCATGTATATGCTAGTCGAAGGGTTTGATATAATATGTGCTACAGCTTGTGTCTACGGTATGTGTCTATTTTTCCAATCGTAAATCCATCGGTTCAGCACTAATTACTCGGTCGACAGCAATATGCACCTGTGTAGGTAATAACAGCTGTTGTTAGGCTTTTAGTTATTAGGCTTTTGTGCTGGCCGATTTCAGTATTAATATTACTTGTTAGCGACCTCGAGTAAACAACTAATGTTTCACCAGACGTCGAACAGACACGCAACGCGAAAGTATTTTTTGTTGTTACGAGTCAATCCAAGTCATTTCAAGTCATTCCAAGTCATTCCAAGTCATTCCAAGTCATTCCAAGTTTACCGAAGTCTTTAAAGGATGTATGAATACATTGCGGCGGCATTAGCGGGCGGCGTCGTGACCGGCGCTGGTTTTCTCTATTACAATGTAAGTATCGACAGTCCAGTAAACCTACCCTAATGCCTCGGTGCTTCCTTAAATAATAATAATAATTATAACTATAAACAGAGGAAATGCGCCGCAAAGTACGCCGCGGAGTATGAGAGATTGCGTCGTGAGCACGCAAGAGAAATCGACAACTTAAACAACGAATGGGCGCGAGTGCTTTCAAATAGCAATGACGCAATGAGAAAGCTGCATGAAGAAAAAGATAAGCTACAGTCAAGTTACAATGATGTAGTAAACAAAATGCGAATGCTGCAGCATGAAAACGAAAAGCTCGAATCGATACGTCAAAACCTGCAGGCAAAAAAAGAAAATCTAGAATCAAGTTATGACGACGTAGTAAACCAAATTCAAATGCTACTGGCGGAAAAAGAAAAGCTAGAATCGATGTGTCAAAAGCTACAAGCGGAAAAAGAAAAGCTAGAATCGATGTGTCAAAAGCTGCAGGGAGAAAATGATAAGCTAGAATCAAATAACGCAGACATACTAAACCAAATTCAAAAGCTGCGGGGCGAAAAAGAATTGCTAGAATCGATATTTCAAAAGCTGCAGGGAGAAAAAAAAATGTTAGAATCGATATGGCAAAAGCTGCAGGGAGCAAATGAAAAGCTACAATCCAACTACGACGAAATATTAAACAAATTGGAAAAACTGCAGGAAGAAAAAGAGAATCTTGAGTCAAAGTACAACGACATAGTAAACAAATACCAAGTACTGCAGAAAGAAATGAAAAAAAGAGAATCGGCACACTTGGGCGAGATGGAGATAAAGACAGACGAGCTAAACGATTTAAAGTTCAAATTAGGGAAAAAAACGCATCGCTTAAATTGCACCCAAACGGCATTGTACCAGCTCGAAAATGGTCCCCGCCGCCGCCCTAGGAACGTGCAGATGGCCAATAAAGGCGGTAAGTGAAAATACAAATAATAGCAGTTTTTTTTTTTTAGGGACTATAACACACGCCTCGCAATTAATCTAACTACTACCCCTTGATGATTTCAGTGAGCGTTGAGTTATGTAATCATAGACCAACCAATTGACAACCGGTTGTTCGCACTCGGTTGCTCGCACTCGGACGAGCACACTGCTTTTGGGCGTCGACGATGTCAAGCTTTAAGTTATCCATAGTATTAATATGTTTGTGACGATTTTAACGAAATTCTTGATCTGTTTGAAAGGCCAGTTGCTTATGAAATATGACATGGTTCAAACGTCGGCCGCGGCTTCGCACGGTGGCACGGGGATGCGACAGGTGGATTTTCAACGACTCTGCCCCCGCACGGATCCGGCTGAGCTTGAGCACGATGGCTTGGGTCGTGTCGACTTTGAGGGCATCCGGCGATTGCGGCGACATAGACCTGCGCATCTCCGGAAAACGTCTGGCTGGGCCGATTAACGTGACCTCTGCGAGAGATAAACACGTGCCCTCGAGCCGTTCGTGCGGAACGTCCGTCGTGGCGCCGTCATGCTGGAACCAAACGTCGTCCGCGTCCTCGTGGTTGATGAGAAAAAACTGGTTATCAATGGTCTCGACAATAGAGTGCGTAACTGATGATAAACGATTTTTTTTTCAGCCATACGGTCGTAGACTACGTGTGGTTTCGGCGGACGCCACGGCGGAAGTTCCCGGAGTTGCGGGTGTATGCTGCCAGACATCACCGATGACCTCGCAGTCAACCCGGCCCGTGCCACCGCTCGTTCAGCCGGATCTATGCGGCAGACTCGTGGAAATCCGCCCCAGCGGCGGCGGACGTTTCAACGATGACATATTTGAAGAAAAAAAACGGCCACAAGAATTTCGTTAAGATTGTGTTTTTTATTTATTCAATGTACAGCTTATAAAAATGTAAAAATATTCTAAAAATACCAATGTAAAAATGTGTTAAATAAACCATGTATAACTGTATATACTTGTTATTATTGAGAAGTTCTTGCACGGGGCCTACCGTACATTATAATTTATGAGTATTATTGTACAAAAAAAAAAATATGCCTAATTATTACTGCATAGCAATTAATAGGAGGTAAAATGTTAGCTCGACGGTCGAATATGACTATTTATTATTGAAGATTTCAGTTTACATAACATGATAGATAATAAGATTAATTAATATCATAGTTAATGTGTAGGTAGATATTATATATTGTATTAATGTATTAATTATTAGATATAAACATAGGTGCAATTAAGGAGGGGAAGCTTAGAGGGTCGTACTGTTTATGTATTAACACATCTGCTTATAAAAATGTTTAACACAAAAAAACCATAAGGTTTTTGCAGAGTCGATTATTTTATTATTCAATGTTATTTATCAATTTCCATTTTTGTAACTTGTAAACGTTCGTTTTCTGCTTTGAGAAGAATAAATGTTTGGCTTTGGGTCAAAATCCCGGCCTTTCCGGTTAATGTCGACGGCCGTGGAATGGCAATTTTCAATATTTTATCCCTTGTTGGAACTTTGCCCAGTGTCTCTTGAACCCTCATTAAACCGATATAGCAGTTCCCGAGGGAATATCCAGGCTAGTCATCGTTTGTCTACCGACCAATGCAATTAGAAAGTCTGCG